ATGTTCCATGTGTACTGAAAAAGAATATATTATTTGCTGTTGTTGGGTTAAATGCTCTTTATAAGTCTATAATGTAACCTTTTCATATGGTGACATCTTTAAAATTTTTCTACTAAACAAGGTATTAAACTTTCAACTTTAATGCTCTATGCTAACAATTGTTGACACATCTCTTGAATCTTAATCATTGTTGGTCCCCATGATGGAGAAGTCAAAAGTAAGGGATTTGGAGATGAAGTGAAGGTGAGAAAGGCATCATCTGGTAGGAAATTACCACATGTAATCTAGAACCAAAATGTATCACTTACTCATCCCAGGAGGGGTAATTTGATATATCCCCTCATTTTTCAAAAATCTAGATCTCAAATGATCTCATATTTTTCTAAAAGTAAAAGATACTTAAAGGCAGACAAAACAAAAACTTTGAAGGAAAGAATATTTAGACTATGATTGTTGTTATTGTTAAGTGCCATTGAGTCAGTGCCTACTCATAGCAACCCTGTATAGGGTTACTGAGCAGTGGTTGAGGAGCTTGAACTGTCGACTTTGAAGTCCAGCATATTAACCTGCAACGCCACACAGACTATGATATGAGCCAATATTTTCAACTCTACACTGTAGCAACAATTTTACTCTTAGTGATATTTAACATGTATATGTTTAATGTCATAACTGACATAGCAGTGAGTTTTGATGAAGGACTGGTACATTTTTAGATGTGGAGTTCTAATTATTAGAACGTATCTTTATTTTATTTTTTTTGTCCCTTCCAACTTCTGGGATTCCTATTACATGTATGTTAGACTGCTTGATATGATTCATAAGTCAACAAGGCTCTGTTCTCTTCCCCCTTTTCAAAATGTCTGAAAACTTTGTTCGTATATTTTGTCTAGTTTTCTAGTTATTTATGTTGGGAATATTGATGCATTAGACACTAAAGACTGAAGACAAGAAGAGTTGTGGGATGACATCAAGAACATCATACAATAAAAAAGCAAAAGAACATTGTGAAGACAAGAGAGAAGGAAAAGACCAAAATGGATGTCAGAAGAGACTCTGAAACTTGCTCTCCAGTGTAGAGATGCTAAAGAAAATGGAAGAAGTGAGGTGGTATAAGAGCTGAACAGAAAGTTTCAAAGGTCAGCTCAAGAAGACAAAGTCAAGTATTATAACAAAATGTGCAGACCTGGAGTCAGAAAACCAAAAGGGAAGAACACACTCAGCATTTCTCACACTGAGGCAAAGGAAGAAAAAATTCAAACCTCAATTTGTGGTATTGAACGATTCTATGAGCAAAATACTGAATGATGAAGAAAGCATCAGAAGAATATGGAAGGAATACACGGAGTCATTGTACCAAAAAGAAATGGTCAATGTTCAACCATTTCAAGAGGTAGCATATGATCAAGAGCCCATGATCCTGAAGGAAGAAGTCCATGGTGCATTGAAGTCATTGGCAAGGAATAAGGCACCAGGAATTGATGGAATACAAATAGAAACCTTTCAACAAAGTGATTCAGCACTCAAGACACTCATTCATCTATGCCAAGAAACTTGGAAGACAATTACCTGGCCAACTGATTAGAAGAGATCTGTATTTGTGCCCATTCCAAAGAGAGGTGACTCACGGAATGTGGAAATCATTGGACAATATCATTGACATCCCATGCGCATAAAGTTTTACTAAAGGTAATACAGAAATGGCTACAACCATATATTAACAGAGAACTTCCAGGAGTTCAAGCGGGTTTCAGAAGAGGACATGGAACGAGTGATATCATTGCTGGTGTCAGATGGATCTTGGCTGAAAGCAGAGAATACATACCAGAAAGATGTTTACTTGTGCTTTATTGATTATGCAAAGGTTTTCAATTGTGTGGATCATGACAAGCTATGGACAACATTGCAAAGTATGAGTATTCAGAACACTTAATTATGCTCATGAGGAACCTATACATAGACCAAGACACTGTATGTTCAAACAAAACAAGGGAATACAAAATGGTTTAAAATTAGGAAAGGTGTTTGCCAGGGTTGTATTCTTTCACCATACTTATTCAATCTGTATGCTGAACAAATAATCAGAGAAGCTGAATTATATGAAGAAAAGAGTGGCATCAGGATTGGAGGAAGGTTCATTAACAACTTGCAATATGCAGATGATACAACCTTGCTTGCTGAAAGCCAAGAGGATTTATAATACTTATTGATGAAGATCAGAGACCACAGCCTTCAGTATGGGCTGAACCTCCATGTAAAGAAAACAAAAATCCTCACACTGGACCAATAAATAACATCCATATAAATGGAGAAAAAAAACAAACTGAAGTTGTCAATGACTTCATTTTGCTTAGATCAACCATCAACACTCATGGAAGCAGCAGTCAAGAAATCAAACGATGTATTGCACTGGGAAAATCTGCTGCACAAGACCTCTTTAAAGTGTTGAAGAGCAAAGATGCAGTTTGAGTACTAAGGTGTGCCTGACCCAAGCCATGGTATTTTCAGTAACCTCATATGCATGCGAAAGCTGGACCATCAATTAGGAAGACTGTAGAAGAATTGATGCTTTTGAGTTACAGTGTTGGAGGAGAATATTGAAAGTGCCATGGGCTGCCAAAAGAACCAACAGATCTGTGTTGGAAGACGTGCAGCCAGAGTGCTCCTTGGAGGTCAGGATGGCCAAACTTTGTCTCTCATACTTCAGACATATTGTCAGGAGGGATCAGTCACTGGAGAAGGATGTCATGTTTGGTAAGGTGGAGGGTCAGAGAAAAAGAGGAAGATCCCCAGTGAGATGGATTGGCCAAGTGACAGGATCAATGGGCCCAAGCGTGGCAACAATTGTGAGGTTGGCCCAGGACTAGGCACTGTTTTGTTCTGATGTATAGGGTCGCTAGGAGTCAATACCGACTCAATGGCTCCTACCAACAATAATAAAGGATATCTGGAGCGTGGTAGTTCAATAGGATTAGCACTGAAATTTGAGTCACAAGGTCAACAGTTTGAGCTCACCAGCCGAAAGTTGGAGAGTGAATAAGGAAGATCATAAAAGATTTGATACTTTGAGTTAGAGTGTCAGAGGAGACTATTGAAAGTACCATGAATGTTGAAAATATGATTTGTTTTGGAAGAAGTACAGCCAGAGTGCTCCTTGGAAGCCTTTGTATGAAAGACAAAGTATGGCCAGACTTTGTCTTTCATACTTCGGACATATTGTCAGGAGGGACCAGTCACTGCTGAAGGATATCATGTTTGGTAAAGTGGAAGGTTGGAGAAAAAGAGGAGGACCAACGAAATGGATTGGCACATCAATGGGCTCAAAAGTAGCAATGATTGTGAGGTTGGCCCAGAATCAGGCAGTGTTTTGTTCTGTTGTGCATAGGGTCACTATGCGGTGGTGCCAACTCAATGGCACCTAACAACAACAAATGTTGGGAAGATAAATCTGATCTCTGTTCCTCTACCCCACATCATATAAGAAAATTAATTCAAAATATATCAATGACCTAAATATAAGAGTTAAAATAAAAAACTCTTTGAAGAAAACGGGTATTTGGCAATGGACTCCTAGATTTGACACCCAAAGCACAAGTAACAGAAAAAAAAGATAATTAAACTCTTTGTGCGTCTTTAGACATTTTCAAGAAAGTGAAAAGATAACCTACAGAATGAGAGAAAATATTTGGATATTATATATCTGACAAGGATTTTGTATCCAAAATCAACACGAACTCCTGCAAGTCAACAAGAAGAGAAACAATCCAATAAAAAAATGGAAAAGGATTTGAATAGACATGTCTCTGAAGAAGATTTACAAATGACCAGTAAGAAAGAACATTCAAAGATGCTTGACATCATCTGTCAGTAGGGAAATGCAACTCAAAACTGTTAACAGTGCAAGTAAATGAGGCTTTCATTTTAATTTTATAAGTCTGTATTATCTTTTTTCAGCAGTGTGATAACTTTTAAAAACAGATTTATTGAGATATAATTCATATATAAATCATGCATTTAATTGTCCAAAGACATTCACAGGGTTGTACAACAATCCCCCCCAGAAAAAATTCTATTAGTAGTCATACTCCACTCCCTACTACCACCCCTCTGCCAGTTTCTGGTACCCATTGGTCTGCTTTATATCTCTACAGATGTGCCTTTTCTGGATGTTTCATACAAAATGTGATCTTTTGGGACTAGCTTTATTCACTGCCGTTTGCATTCTCAAGGCTTGTTTATATGATAGCATGCATGAGTACTTTGTCCATTTTTATTGTTAAATAATTTTCACTGTATGGCTATACTGGAGTCCCTAGGTAGTATAAATAGTTACGTGCTTGGCTACTAGCCAAAATGTTGATACTTTGAACCTACCCAGTGGCATCTGGGAAAAAGGTCTGGTGATCTACTTCTGAAAGGTCACAGCCTTGAAAACTCTATGGAGCAGTTCTATTATGAGTCAGAATCAACTTGATATTAACAATAACAGCAATATGACTATACCACAATTTACTGATCTGCTCATTAATTGGTAGGCATTTGTGTTGTTTCCACTTTTTGAGCCATTATGAATGGCTGCTATGAACACTCATAGCAAGCTTTTGTGTGGATGTATAATTTTATTTTTTGAGAGTATAGACCTAGAAATGGAATACCTGGGCCATATGATATCTTTGTATTTAACATTTAAAGCAACAGTTTTCCAAAGCAGCTGCATACATTTATTGGTATATACCAGCAATGTATATAAATTCTGAAATTAAGCCACTTTTCTCTAAGAACTCTAGTACCATTTCAGGTAGGAGAAAGTAGGTAGTCAAAAATATTTATTGAATTAAAGAATAAATGAGTATTTTAAATAAGATAGAGTAGGAGTAGGCATGGGGAGGGACTGAACTTGAGAAATAGGACGACGAAAGGATGGGAAGTAGGTGAGTCCCTGGCTAGTAACTCCATTCCCAGCAGGCCAGGCTTCTGAACCTCATGTGATTCCCAAACAGGATCAACCAGCCCCTTCTCAGCCTGAGATTGACTTGGAGGCTCTCATGGATGTACCCACAGAAGAGCAGAAGACCCATCTGGAGGTAAGATGGGGGGCCGGGACCCTAGGCTCAGGTGGTGAAGGGTTGGAGATGGGCTTGGACCAAGAGCAACCCAAGAACTTAGGCTTTCTCTCTTATTCAGAGGGGAGAGGATTCCTGGGGGTCTGAGAGCTGCTATGACTTGGTGATCTACTTTCTGCTCTCTCCCATCCAGGTTATTCTCCAAAACTGCCTCCGCCCCACAGAGGTAAGGGATGCTCTACTGGTCTGGTGGTAAGAGGAGGCCATTGAGGGAGGCAGCTAGAGAAGGGAAGTGTTTAAAGGGAAGAGTTGGCCCTGGGCCTTAACCCCCTTCTTAAGTTCTGAAGAAATGGACCAGGGGAAATTAGGGAGGGCAGAGTGGTGAATAAGTATAACCCCGTCTTGATCTCACCTGTCTGTTTCTCCATCAGTCTTTTATCTCTGAGCTACTCAGTCAACTCAAGAATCTCCGGAGACTCAGCAGACCTCAGAAATAAAACTACCTTGTGAGACCTTCAGCAACCTCAGCACTGCCCAGGCCTGTCCTGAACATCTGGATCCTGGGCTATGGAAAGGAAAACAGCTCCTTGAGATACAAACAAGGAAGGTGGCGGACAAGGAGGGACATTTGGACACCCTAATGGATGTGCAGTCACAGCTAGTTCCTGTCAGCTGGACTTCCTGGGAGTCAGACATACTGTTGCCCACTGATTTCCTTGGCAAAAGCCAAGTAGATAAAACCTTTAGGAGTCCCAGCTGAATGCAGTGTCAAGCATGTCTGTGCTAAGGGACACAGGAAGGGGAGGGTAAAGTGATACACTGGAAGGCCAATATCCTGAGTCACTGGGACTAGGTTCTACCCATATATCTCATTCATTCATCAATTCATTCATTCACACACACCTATAACTCTGCTTAAGAGCTAGCAAGGTCCAGAGGCCAAGTGGAGCACACTGGCTAAGACACTCAGCATCCTGGCATCAACAATGGAAGGGGTCCAAGTGGCAAACACTAATCTCAAACCCCAGAGGGGAAATAGCAAGAAAAACCTATATGGGTTTGAGGGCTAATCCCTCCTTGACCTCCAAATGATTCAGGAGGCCTTAGGCTCTTTCTTGAGCTGGCTCCAGTCTGAGACAGGAAGAGAAAAGCAGAGACTATGTGGAGAGTGTAAAGGGTACAAGCTGAGACATCAGAGGTCAGGAGCAGGGAAGATGCTGGAAGGCAGATACTGGTTCTGAAAGGTAGCCAGGTTGGAGAAGGTGCCCTGGGAGGTGGTATCCTTTGACAGAAAAGCAGCAAGCTGGGTCTATCCTATTCAGACCCATATATTTCCAACATGCCTTATTTGAATACTAGAGGAACTGAGAAATGCAAAGTGATAGGGCTTGGTGGGATATTCAGTTCAGTGAATGAATATTCATGACTACCAGGATGAGACCACCTCATCAGGGTGGGAGTGCTCCTCCCTGGAGGAGCTTTCAAAGCAGTTCAACCTTCTCCCTTGACCCACAGGACTAGGCTTATAGCCTACTCTGCTCTTGCTACCTCACACAGGGCTCACAAGGTTCCAAACAGATGCTGGGTTCAAGGAACCAACATACTTTATTAAATCCAGTAAGTGTCAGGGAGGGGCACTGGGCCCTTTGAGCCAGGTTTCAGGGCTCATCCTTAGATTCAGTCTGGTTCTTTCCTCCACACGCTCTCACTTTCAGCTCATGCTTCTCTGCTGTAGGCCTCCTGACTCTACCATCCTGCTGGTTCCCAGTCATTGTCTTGAGTGAAGAATCTTTCCTTCTTCCAGGAACACTGATGCTCAGGAAGAGTCGTATCCATCAGCAGTATATCTTGCTGTTGTCGGCAGTCTCCCAAAGATGACCTGGGCTGGGCCCAGCACTGGGTGCCCCAGCCTGTGGGACTGTTCTGTAGTTGCTTTCCTGGGTGGACCAGGGTTTCCTCAGAGCTCTCGGCCTGCTTGCGGCGGGCGGTACACAGATGTCTGATGTTCTCTAAGCTCGAAGGCATCATGGCCCTCCCTGTGGAGGATAGGAATATATTTTAGGGATCCCAGCCAGCCCTGGAGCTCTCCTGGTCCCACAGAGTACTCTGCCTGCACCCACCGGAAGCAGCGGGCACAATAGAGGTCCCCCTCGCAGCCAGTGCAACGCAGGGTGGCATCCTCATTACAGATGCAGCACCACGGGAGCTCCTCTGCCTCCACCTCCGCCTCTGATCTGTGGGCCGCAGCCTGGGCCTTCAGGGAGCAGAGAGAAAGGGGGAAAATAAGGTGGATGGGATCTGCGAGCAGTTGGCCAGGCAAGGAAGAAGGCTATGGTGACAGACTGGGTCTATGCCTGGGGCTTCTCTCACCTCTGGCCTGTTGGGCTGCGCCCGTGATCGGCGAGCTGGCTCTGCAGGGATGTTAAAGCCACTTGCCTCATCCAGGGCAGCTTCCTCAGTGAGCTGTAAACAGAGAGAAGACAACTCCTTGCTCCAGGCCCAGGCACCCTCTCCCAGCATTTCTTGTGCTCTCTAGCCTCAGCTTCTCAACTCATCTTCCTTCACCTGCCTGTGGCTGGTGACTCCCCATCTCAAGGAACCAGGGGCAGGCCTGGGTCACAGGAGCAGTGGAGCACCAGCTAGAGCAGAGTGGTGATAGGGTGAACGGGGCCAGATGGGACAGAGGACAAGGGCCCACCTGCTGCAGCACTCTCTGGATGGCTGTTTCCTCATCCTCATCGTCATCACTGTCTGGGAGGTGATAGTCCTGGAGGGTCACTTGACGAGGGGGAAGTGGGATCAGAAGGAAGAGTGAAGTTGAGAAATTTCACCTGAGGGGCTGTACTCTTGCCCCCAGGAAGCTAGTTTGGTTCCCAGGAGCACTTCTTTCAGATCTGTGTAACCTCTATAGCTACTTTAGTGAAACTTTTTGCCACACAGGGACCCTGCCCTCTCTTTGCTCCACCCCTGCTGGGCTGGGGGGAGGGGGAGGTAGGAAGAGCAGTCTCAGTACCTGGAAGGACTGAAGTTCCCCTACTCCTAAGTTCTGATTTACTGCTTGGCCCCAGCACCTCCTGGTGGCCCTGGGCAGAAGTCAGTAAGACTCTGGACTCAGCCTTGACAGAGTATAGCTACCTTGGAGAGTCCAGCTTGGGGTTGGGGAGGCCTTGCCCCATGGATATGAGTGAGCCACTGCTTTCCAAGCTCTACCTCCATCAGGGTCCAGTCCTCGTAGCACAGCCAGCCGCTTGGCGAGGGCCAGGATCCGCTCCTGCCTTGTGTTCTCCTCCCGAAGCTCGACAGCTGCCTCTGCCAGCAGCCTGCTCTTCTCTTCCTCCAGGGACCAAGTGGCCTGCCCCTTAGGATGAGGGCTCTGGGTTCCTGAGCCACCCTGGTTGAGGTCGTTCTGGTTAGAGGCAACTGGAAGGAATAACAAAGTCAGGAGGCAGAGATATTCCAAGATCTCTCAGTCCATTTCTCAACTTTTTTTTTAACCAACATCATTAGGTTTCTGTTCAAGTACTAACACCTGTGATTTATGTTGTTGTTGAGTGCCGTCAAGTCGGTTCTGACTCACAGCAACCCTGTATAGGGTTCCCAAGGAGTGGCTGGTGGGTTTGACTTTACTGCTAGCAGTCCAGTGCTTATCCTACAACGCCACACCAGGGCTCAGGATATGCCTTATATATTAAAAATGATACAAGTATTTCCTCCATTTTACCAACTCTGGTAGCGTACTGGTTACGAATCGGGCTGCAAACCTTAAGGTCAGCGGTTCGAAACTACCAGCTGCTCCGCGGGAGAAAGATGAGGCTTTCTACTCCCGTAAAGATTTACACCCTCGGAAACCCTGTACAGGGTCGCTATGGGTCGGAACCGACTCGATGGCACTTAACAACAACAACAACAAAATACTACAAACCTTCCAACCACACCCACTCCCACCCTCCTGATAGAGTAACTGTTGATCTTGTGGTAGATGGCCCACATCTGAGAATCACTGCCCTAAAGGAAAGGATCAGGATATGGAGTTGTTATTGTTGTGTGGTTGTCGTGTGTCATCGAGTCAGTTCTGACTCATAATGATTCTGTATCGGGTTTCCGAGAGCAGTTGATGGGTTTGAATTCCTAACCTTGCAGTTAGCAGTCTACAGCTTATCCAACAGCTCCACACTAGGGCTCAGGACATGGGCTAACATGAAGCCAAGGTTCAGCCTGTCTCTTTGCCTTTCAATCTGGGATTAGTGCTTCCCAGGAGCAGCATGGAGAAGGCAGGAAGGGAGTCTCAGTCCTGCATATCACTGGGTGGGAAGGGTTTTTCCCAAGTAGATGATGTGGCTCTGACAGGGTCACTTTCAGATATTTCAGAGCAAGCAGAGCCGAAGTCAGACAATGCTGGTTTCAAGGCTCCATCACTTAGAAGCTGGGTGACCTTGGTTCATACAGATGGCAGAACCAGGATTCACTAATTCTAACGCTTCCAAATGAACCATTAGCCTTACACTGGCTCCCTCTGGAGTAAGCACTCAATAAATGGTTGCACTTATCATGTTGACTGTTCTGATTTATATTCATCTCTGAGCGAGGGGCGGGAGGCAGCAAAGCCTCTTCCACCTGGAGAAAGAAGGGGGATGGGAGTCCTCAGGGAGTCAGGTGGAAGGGTTACCTGGCACTCTTCGCTCCCAGCTCTCATCAATGGCCACTTCAGCTGCCAGCTGTGTCAGCAGATCCTGCGCCTGCGCCGTCTGGGTCCTGGTTTCTGGTGGCTGATGTACCTGCCCAGAGGAAGGAAGCTGCACCATAGGGCCCTGAAGCAGTCTAGGTTAGGGATGATGCTAAGGAGTTCTCAAACCCATGATGTCCCAGTACCAGTTGTCAAATCAATTCCAACTCATTGCCACCCAACCTCTGTCAAGAGTAGAACTGCACTCCACAAGGTTTCCTATGGCTAGGAACTTTCAGAAGTAGATTGCCGGGCCTTCCTCCCAAGATGCCTCTGGGTAGATTTGCACTGCCGACATTTTGGTTAGTAGCTGAGTGCTTCATCACTTGTGCCACCCAGGGAAGAGGGATTAATTCAGGGCTCACACCATGGGGTGGGTCTGGCAGTGCCGAATGGGACTGAAGATCCATCTCTTTGCGTTCCACCCAATCCTGCTGCTTACCTCTGGCTCCCTGGCCTACAGCAGAGCTGAAATTTTGTCAACTCTGCGAAAGTATATAACCACAGGCACCTGGGCTTCTGTTGGGCCATCTCTCTAGGACCCCCTTCCCAGCCAAGATATGGCACTCACCGGCTGGGGTGTCTGAAGGGGCAGCACTCTGCCCTGCAATGTGGCAAGCCGTGTCTCTATCTCCTGAGTTGAAGAGAAGGAACCCTGGGGTTCACCCCTGAGTGCAGCCAGCCGAGCCTCTATCTCCGCCTGTGATGGTGCTGACTCTGCAAGTGGCATAGAAGGGAAGGGTCAGGGGAGCCCCTGGCAGCAAACTTCAGGCTGCCCTGCCTGCCCCAACTCACTGGGCTTGTTCTCCTGGCGGAGCCGTGCTAGGCGCTCAGCAATGACCTGGTCTTGTTGGGTCAGTCCCTGGGTCCGGGGAGCACTGGGCTTCGGCTTGGCTTCCAAAGCTGCCACGCGTCTGAAGGACATGAGATGGAGGCTCTTGAGGAAAGCAGGAAGTAGAGTAGAAGGTGAACACTTACTATTTCCCATTCAAATAATTTCTGGGCATCTGAGGGTGAAGGGCGGGTCTCCAATGGGCATCTTCTGTGGCCCTTGCTCATGTTGCCCTGTAGCCCAACCCAGCTCAGCAGAGAAGGCAAGGTCTACCAGGTGTCTTTTGTGGGGAAAACGGCTGGTGAGCTGTTTACTAAGCCCAAAGGGGGAGTGAGGAGCCTGAAACAGGGGTATTCTCTTGACCTTGTGCTCATGTGGTCTAAAAGCTAGCTCTAGAATTTGGTCTCTCCTGGTGGCTCCTTTGTTCTTTCCTCAATTTCATTTGTCTATCTCTTCAGCACTTACTTCTTGTAGTTCTGAGGTGGGGACCACTTGGAGGTGTTGGCAGGAGCAGGTCCTCTATAGGGAAAACAATCTCGTGTTAAGAGATTTTGCTACCCTCTGAAGGGCAGTGTCCCGTCCCCCCCCCCCGCCAACTCCCAACTTCCTGGACTGACTCCTGGTCATAGAGCACAGGGCTGCACCGGTTGAACCCTGGTCATGTCAGCTTCTTACCTGGTCAGGATCTCCTGGCATTGCTTGCAGACTTTTTGCTGAGTGTTTCCAGCCCGGGGCACTGCTGCACTGAAGCTGAGGCAACCAGAACAGAAGGCACGTCCACAGTTCTTACAGCCACACTACAGGGAACATGAAACAGGCGTATACACCTCTCACCAGCCCCTGCAGGCTCTTTCCTGGGACTCTTTAAGCACACAGAGAAGGAAGACACTGACATTGTGATCAGTCACTAGGAGAAGGAAGAGGAATGGGGCCCCAAAGGCATGGGGAGAGATAGGGGCTGAGAGTGGAGGGGTTCCTGTTGTCAGTCTCTTATTCAAATCAAATAAAGCTTCATGCAGCATTCCAAGTGCTTTCTGCCCTAGCTTCAAGTTCCTGGCCCTTCAACAAAGGAGAATCAGAGTACAGGACACATGCCTTCTCCGCTCTAGCGGAGTAGGAGGGTGGCTTGGCTCAGGATGCGATGATCACAATAGCCCCCATTTATTAAGCACTTACTGTGTGCCAGGCACTGAGCTCAGTACTATTTAATCCTCACCATTTATAGACACTATTTAATAAAATTCTGATGACCACCACTTATTGTCCTGATTTTAGTTGGAGCCAGAGAAGGTTCATGACTTGCTCAAATTCAGGTCATCCCAAACAAAACAGCAGAATTCAAATTTGAACACTGACCAATCTTGACTCCAAAATCCAGGCCAAGTGCTGCACTGTCCTGCCTCCCCAAAGGCCATTAATTCATCCCATCTGGTTCTCACCTCTTGGTCAGATTCCCTGACCAAAGCTGAGGTACAGAAAGCCTACATTTACCAAGGGAACTTGAAAGGTTCTGAGGTCCCTGCAAGTCTTTGTCGTGGCACCCTGAGGACATCAGGAAGGACATAGACCTGAAAGGGCAGGCTGCACGATGGGGCAAGTATGATAGAGAATGGTCACAGGGCGTTAGTTAAGATCGGACTGCGGAGGAGCAGGGTTGGGAGATGGAAACAGCCGGATTGTCGACCAAAACACGTAGCTTTCAAAAAAACCATGCAGTATGCTATGGAGTTTATAAGGTACTTTCACCTCCAGACCTCACTGGACCGTCACACCTCCGAAGCGAGACAATTATTAATCCCATTTTACAGAAATGTTAAGTGGGGCTCAGTGACCATCAAAATCACATAGCTGGAAAGAAGCTGAGCCAGGCCATAAATACAAGACTTCGTACTGCAAAGCTCGTGCATTTCCCTCCACTCCGAGTCCTCCCTAGCCCTCCAGACCCCAGGGAGAGAAGACTCACCTCCTTCTTGAAGAGTGTAAACTTGGCTGCGCAGCCGTAGCACCTACTATCCATCTTTGCTCTCAATGCGGCAGGGTCGGCTAAGTTGAGGTCACTCCCGCTAGGCCCAGAGTCCCTGGACCCTCACCCAGCACTGTCCACGCAGGGAGGCCCACTCGAGCGTTTCGGTTGCGATTTCCGGACCAGGAATCAGAACAGACCACCGGGTTTGACTGCAGCGGCGGCAGGAGCGGGGACTGCTGGGAGTTGTAGTCTTTTTAAAAGACCGTCCACCTCCCTTAGAGTCAGTCCAGTGAGATCCAGAACACAATTCCCAGGGGGCAAAGCGCCACTCGGCCTGCTCGGAGTCAGCAATCGGCCGGCAGTCCCGACGCCCGCTTAGACTCTTGGGAATTGTAGTACGAACGGCGTCAGAGCCGAAACCATGGCGGTGACCAAAGAGCTCTTACAGATGGACCTGTACGCCCTGCTAGGGATCGATGAGAAGGCTGTGGACAAAGAGGTGAGAACACTAGCTAGGAAGGTCTATCCTGAACTGTTCTTTCTGTCTTAGCACCTCGCCGGCAGCTGGGACCCGCTCTCCAGGTTCCATCCGGCGCTGGGCGGGAGCGAGGGGGAGCCCAACGGCCTCCGAAGAAGTGCTCCCAGACCATTCCTGGAGGGTCTGAGGGCCTCAGGGGGATGGGGGGCACAGGGGACTCCTTACGTCGCCTGACTGTGTTCTGTGGTCCCGGTTTGGACGAGGCCCTAGAGTGAGCAAACTGGGCACGCGAGCCTTCTCCTTGCGCCTGCGCAGTCTCAGTCTCTAAGTCCGCTTCTGTCGTGCTGTGGCTGGAAGTGCTTATTTCATTTCGCCTGAAGATTGAACTTTACTTAAACCTTGGGCAGAAGAAAGGTCAAGTCTCAAGGCGCTCCACTCCCATCCCTCCCCCTTACCGTTGTGACTTAAGACTTTGTTATCTCCGTTTTCTCTTCCACCCCAGCTCATTGACTCTTTTCAAGTAGCAGATTCTCAGGCTTTACACATCTTAACATGTGATGTTGTTGTTAGGTGCTGTTGAGTCAGCTCCGACTCATAGTGACCCTGTATAGGGTTTTCGAGGAGTGGCTGGTGAGCTTGAACCACCGACCTTGCAGTCCAGTGCATTACCGTACAGCACCACACCAGGACTTCTAACGTGATTTATTGTTAAGTACCGTGGAGTCGGTTCCGACTTAGTGACCCTGCACAGGGTTTCCGAGGCTGTAAATCTTTATGGGAGCAGAAAGCACTCGTCTTTCTCCCGCGGAACAGCTGGTAGTTTCGAACTGCTGACCTTGAGGTTAGCAGCCCGGTGGGCCAAAAACAGGAGCATCAGAAGACTGAGGCTGGTAGCCTGTATTCCACAGGAAGGTTTTAATAAAATGCCAGGAAATGGGACACTGATCAAGCTGTGCTTAAGATTTTGGTATGTCTCTGAATCTTTGTCATAGTTATAACCAGGCTGAAAGGAGAGTCCAGTAATTCATTCGAAGGAAATTAATGCCCCGTCTTGATGTGGCACTGTAGGATAGGCACTGGACTGGTCACTGCAAGGTTGGCAGTTCAAACCCAATAGCCGCTCTCCGAAACCTATACGGAGTCACTGTGAGTTGAAACTGTCTCAACAGCACACAACAGCAATGGGTATATAATGCTTGCTATGTGCTGGGTACTACTATAAGTGTTTTGCATTTGTTGAAATAGTGTGAAATTACTTAGGACATTTCACACCAGATCTAGCCAATATGTTGGAACTCTAAAGTTGCAGACTCCTCAGGAAGGTAGCTGGGAGCCATTGATGTATACATTAGTCATGAAAGTAACATTAATTGGATTTTTTAAAGAAAATATTCAATATCATTGTGCAGAATGGACACGGATGGGAGTGGAGAAGTGGCCACTAGGTATCAGGTGGGGATGTTGTTGAGGCAAGAAACTGATGTCTGAGCTGGGCCATGGTGTCTGGGACCAAGAGCTCAGATGAGATGAGAGATATGTCAGAAGGTTGTTTTTAAAGGATGACAGTGCTGACGTTTATGGTTAGTTTTTGGTACTGTGGGTTGGGCGTTGGGCTGCTAACTGCAAGGTCAGTGGTTCAAACCCAACTGCTCCATGGAAGAAGGATGAAGTTGTCTACTTTCAGAAAGATTTAGTCTTGCTAACTGTGTATAGGGGTTGCTATGAGTCAGAATTGATTTAATGGCAGCGGGTTTAGTCTTTTGGGGTTCCATGTGCCAAGGTACGTTAGTGGCACAGTGGGTTAAGTGTTGGACTGTTAACCAAAAGGTCAGCAGTTAAAACCCACCAAAAACCACTCATTGGGAGAAAGGTGAGGCAGTCTGCTTCCTTAAAGACTTACAGCCTTCGAAAGTCTGTGGATCAGTTCTGCTCTGTCCTGTGGGGTTGCTAAAAGTCAGCATTGACTCAACAGCAATAAGGTTGGTGTTGTGGATTTTCCATATGCTAGCTACTTTGACTGTTTTTTTTTTACTAGGGAAGACATGACTCATGTACAGATAACTACAATAAAAGGAAAATGTGGTAAATCCTCTTACGTTGTTAAGTGCCCTTCGAGTCGGTTCCAACCATAGCGACCCTGTGTAGGGTTTTTGAGGAGCAACTGGTGAGCTTGAACCACCGACCTTGTGGCTCAAACCAACTTTGCAGTCCAGCACCACATCAGGACCTCTTAAGAGAGACACAACATCAACTTAAGAGGAGGGACACAAAGTGTTTTGGATGTTCATGGTAGGGTGAGATTACTTCTAGTTTGGGAGAAGGGTGGGGAAAATAGAAGAGGCATTTAAGGCTTTGAAAGATGAGCAGAACTTGCCTATATGGAGATGGAGGAAGGGTATTCCAAGAAAGAGAAGGTGTGGGGAAAAGGAAGTAAGAAAGAGAAGAGTGTGTATAGTCCAATTTTTCTGAAGCATATGCCAAGAAGAAAGGTAAAAGAAGATAAGTAGGTTGAGACCTTTGAATATATTGCCTAGCTTCATAGTAATGTACTTTTTTGGTAGAGAGCAAGTGACCTAGGCCCTGGTGCACCCCCTCTGTGGGGGGATTGTTGTTGTTGTTAAGTGCCGTGGAGTCAATTCCATCTCACAGTGACCTTGTATAGAGTTTCCGAGGAGTGGCTGGTGAGTTTGAACTGCTAACCTTGTGGTTCAAACTGACATTTTGGTTCAGTGCTTTTCCTGTAGTGCCACAGCATAAGTTGTGTGTGTGTGTGGGCGGGGGTGGGGGGATAATATTCTCGAGGGCACCTGGAGGATGTTTAGAGCATATACCAATAATGTCTCCTAAACTTTAATCATCTGGTCATATAGTCCAAGAGTTCTTAATTTAGGGTCTACAGAAGGGTTCCAGGAATTGGGTGAACCTCTCAAATAGTATATAATATGTTTTGTGTATTCATTTTCTGGCAGTGGAGGCAATTTTTATCCATAAAAAGGTTAAAAGAAGCTCTTACGTAGGCCAATTTCCTTCTGTTACTGATGGTGAACTGAAGTTCAGAAACTCAGGCTGTTAGTCACAGAGTTGGGAATAGAACTCAGATGCTCTGATATCTAACCAACGTTGTTGCTCTTTCCTCTGTGAAACTCTGGTCCTGTCAAGCGTCATATAGCTCAGTGGTAGTGGTGGGCACCAACACCAAATTTAACATTCGTTCAGACCGTGTCTCAGAGTTTAAAATCCATCATGTATCCATCTGCCTACTTCTCTCCATTTGGATGTTTCACAGGGATCTAAATCTTGTGACATCCATAACTGAACTCATGAATGTCCCTCTTCAAACCTGCTCCTTCCTTGGATTTTCATCTCAGTAAAGGGTACCATCATCCAGCTACTTGAGCTGAGAACCTGGGTCATTCTCGATCCCTTCTACCCTCTCACCCCTGGTATCTATTCTTTCGTTATACCCTAATGAGTCAGCCTACTAAATATTTCTCAAACCTGTTCACCAATCTCTGTCTCCACCACTGCCACTCTCGCCCAAGCCACCACCAACCTCCAACCTAACAGAGGACAACTGGCAACTTGTCTCCCTGCTTTAAATCTGTTCTGTTCTAGCCTGTTGTCTCTCTCCAATAGATTCTCACAGAAAATAGAATGATCTTGGTACTTACTTTGAGTCACATGGCATTTATAATAAAACAATAGAATTTCCTACCTCCTCATATATTCTTTTTCAAACTGCCAGGAATGCTTTCCCTCCCTTTCTTTAACCTGGGTTACTTTTACTCATATTTAGAATTAAGTGTAAATAGGACTTCCTTGCCTGTTAATTTTCTTCCCAAGCACTCCATTCTTCTCCTTCCCAGCACTATCTCAGTTTGCAGTCAGGTATTCATTTGTGGGTTTACTTGTCTCCTGTCAATAAATATTCTTCTATGTTGAGATTTTTAAAGGAGGACATTTTGATGGCTTCAGGCTTACCATGGTGGTCATCATTCTACATTTGCAAATTTAAACCCAGTTGGAAGAAATGTCACCTTGAAGGTTAATTTTATGACTACATAGGTATCTTTTTTGTTGCGGAAACTCTCCTGTACCTATGATCTCCCTTCTCAGAAATGACACCTGAGAACCTGATGCCTTCTTGCAAAGTCTAGACAGATTTTTGGTGGTGGAGCCCTAAGCACCAGTTCAAGCCTTTTTTCTACTGTTTTTCTTTCCCACTCAGCTTATTTAACATCTACTTTGAGTTTCTTCTTGGGGCATCAGTTTCAGGCACCCCAGGGCTGTGTTGAGTATGGTGGTTGGTGGTTGTGTGCCACCGAGTCAGTTCTGACTCATAGTGACCTTGTATAAAGTTTCTGAGGCTGTAAATCTTTATAGGAGCAGAAAGTCTCATCTTTCTCCCACGGAACAGCTGGTAAATTCGAACTTCTGACCTTTCGGTTAGGAGTCCAGTTTGTAATCAATTATACTACCAGGGTTCCTTATGGGCAACTCCACTCTTTATTGCTCAGGCCCAAATCACTAGCTAATTTCAGAATATTTTCATCACCCTACAAAGAAACTCCATACAGACTTCTCATTCTCCCTTACCTCAACTCCTGACAACCGCTGATCTACAATCTATCTCTATAGATTTGCGTATTCTAGGCATGTCATGTAAACAGAATCAGATAGTTTGTGGCCTTTTGTGAATAGCTTCTTTTATTCAGCGTAATGTTTTTAAGGCTCCTCCATATTGCAGTATGTATCTGAACTGTACTCCTTTATGTTGCTGAACTATATTCCATTGTATTGACATAGCACATTTTGTTTATCCATTATTCATCAGTTGATAGGTGTTTGGAGCTATTATGAATAACGCTATGAACATTAATGTACAAGTATTTGTAGGAACATAGGATTATAGTTTTAATTCATTTGGGTACACACACACAAACGCAAGGGTGAGTCAAAAATTATCCACACTCTGGGTATATTAAAATGCCCATCTATGTCCATGGCTGATGACAACATTG